AGCCCCTCAGTGTGAAATGTTATCTGTTCATGCTATTTCAGACAGAGAGCTATCATCTGAGAGAGCACACATTCTCAATGAAACATTGCACAGTTGTCATATACATGAGCATAAAAATTGCCCCACGGTATGTTCCTTAAAACCATGTCAATAAATGGGATGGCTGTATTCCTCTAGCTTCGAAAATGTTATCATTATTTGTTATTTCCTGAGACCTGATGATGTGTTCAGCCTTTTACAGACCAAAGAGACATGGGCTTTGCCCCAAGAGTTTACAGAATACCCAGTGACTGCAGTGGCCTTTGAATCAGGCACTTAACGCTACTGCCAGTGTGGAATATGCTTACAGTGTATACTAATGTAAATAACATGAATTCATAGGACTCTTTCAGATCTGTTACTCCAAAGAGCTGATGTTTCTTCTATGATCGGGGCTCTTTTACTTCTACATCTGGTATATGTTAACACTTAGGCATCAGAGATCATAGCAGAGGCTAGATGGAGAGAGATAACAAAGAGGGAAAGATGGTCTGCAAAAGTATTTCTTAGGTCAGGGCTACTCAACTTTGGAAGCCCTAAGGGCCACAGTGATACTCACAGCACATGCCAAGGGCTGCAACTTAAGTGTGGTTGCAGATACATGCAAATATAAATGCAAATATATGCAAATAGCTTCTTTCACACTGACAGGCATGAATACAAAGATTAACGCAAGACTACACAACACGCAGGCCCCATTTAAGTCAGTTCTGTTGATATTAATAAAATGCAATATTTACCCAATTTCCACCCATTTGACAGCACTTTTAATGAGCAATTACAGTCCAGGAATTTAACTACTAAAATGCATATCAACAAAAGACTACTATTTTGTTTTAACTCCCACCCGCGTAATCCCAAACTGAAACCCACAGGCCATGTGTTGAGTAGCCCTGTCTTAGGCATTCTTAGGTAATCAGTAATGCTGCATTTGAGTTTTCATCATAAAACAGTTGTTTTCTTTGACCACACCAGCAGTAATAATTCACTTACTAGAGAACATCTTTCAAAGACTGTATAGTAATTTTTCTATGAAAATGTAAGTTAGGCGAATGACATATGGACAGGAAGTACAGCTTATTTGCTATTGGGGTTCCTCACCTAAACCAACAGAGTTATAGTAGGGAAGAATTTGACCCATAGTACAATACAAATCGTGAAAGGTGTTTTGTGTTGTATGTTAATAATCTTGCTCACCCTACTTGTGTTGGGGTTAGCACTTACATCGTACAGTTTGTATATAACCTTTGTTCATTCCTATTCTGCTTGAGAGCGCCAAAGTAGTTCTATGCAGATTTCATGAATGTAGTGACACAATTTATGGGGCCCAGTTCTGAGGTTAAATATGGGCACATCCAAATGGAGGTCACATTAACACTGTAGACATGTTTTCCCTTTAAAAAAAACAACATTGGCCTCCCTGCTTTCGACTACCTGAATTTCATGCAAGTATGCTTAAACTATAGATGTTACATACATTGGAAAGACAAGTCCAGATGAAACATCATTAGCAAAAATCACTAAGCTACAGGCCAAGAGCATTAGTCTCTTTGTTCTGTTCTGCACATGTGCGACCCCCTCACCTCTCTGCAGTAATATCAACCTTTCCAAATGAGCCGGGATTAACTGAAGTTCAGAGATGATGGTGCAGAGCTTCACAGATCTGGGGAGTTCCATCTCAGTTGTCACTTTTTAAGTTCTAAGCTCCCCTCGCAGTCTTAAAGGATGATCATGTCATCTTTTGGGTATTGCCAGTATTCCTACCAGTATGACGCTGTATTCAGGGCTAAGCTGGTAAACGTGAGAATGAGTAAGACCAACAGAAAACAAAAATCATGGTGTCTCTGATCAACTCTCAATATTCGTAGTATCCAACCAGCCCTGAAGGAGTAGCCACTACTGCTATAGTGAACTAGCCACACTCAACTGGCCAAATAGCCACATGTGGCTAGTGGCTAGCATGTTGGACACCACAGCCCTATACTGTAAGGCTGTGTCTAGACTGGCAAGTTTTTCCGCAAAATCAGATGATTTTGCGGAAAAACTTGCCAGCTGTCTACATTGGCGGTTTGAATTTCCGCAAGAACACTGACGATCTCATGTAAGATAGTCAGTGTTCTTGCGGAAATACTGTGCTGCTCCCGTTCGGGCAAAAGCCCTCTTGCGCAAATTATTTGCGCAAGAGGGCCAGTGTAAACAGCACAGTACTGTTTTCCGCAAAAAAGCCCCGATCGCGAAAATGGTGATCGGGGCTTTTTTGTGGAAATGTGCGTCTAGATTGGCCACGGATGCTTTTCCGCAAAAAGTGCTTTTGCGGAAAAGTGTCCTGCCAATCTAGACGCAATTTTCCAAAAATAGTTTTAACGGAAAACTTTTCCATTAAAAGCATTTTCGGAAAATCATGCCAGTGTAGACGTAGCCTAAAGGAGCAATAACAGGAAAAGTGGGTTGCACGGATTTCTAATTACGTTTTTAAATGTTTAATAGTATTTCTTTTTCCTTATGTTTCATATGTTCTTCCTTTCTGCCACGCACCCTCCATGCCATCTATATATTTGTTAGAACCAGAAGAATTCTTGAAATAAACCTGCTATGATTATCACTTAAGTCACACAATAAACTGAATTCACTACAGCTTTGTTGGTGTCCCTTTTATATCGGCTTTCTGCAAGGATTCTAGCCAGTGACTTTAAATGGACCGAATATATGTGAAAACTGCCAATTTTAAGCAAATATTAAAGAATACACCTCTGGAGCAAAGCAGGTCTGCATTGCCTCCTACTCAGGGCTATGGATACATGCCACATTCTAGACCTGTGTTAGAGAAAAAATTGCTATGAACATTCATCTTAATCAATTACTTTTCTTAAGTACGCCACTTATGATTCATCTTTCAGGGACGAGACACTGTGCTCACCACATTCTTGCTGTAAAGAACATGTCCTCGGGAACCTGCTGCAGTTTTTTACACATGTAATTATGCAAGTCGTTTTCTTTCATGGCTATAATAAAATGGTACCTTTTTACATGCTGTAATAACTAATATCCTGGACATGTAGCTTTGTGATGCAGCTTTGTGATGCATGTGTCCCAAAATTCAATACATTGGGTTATAACCACACTGAACCCCACGATTAGACAGGACCAAAGTAATCTCTGGAATCACTCTCTTGAAGCAATTGAAGTAGTAGACTGCTGCGAAGGAAAGGCACATTTTACCCTTACCCTAATCCTGAAGAATGAGGCCTTCATTCTGGATGGGACAGATCCAGAATCCACTGATGTTCATGGGAATGGGAATTCCCACTGATTTCAGTCAGCTTTGGATCAGGTCCTATGACGCCTTCTACAAAGTCTGATTTACACTAGGATATTTCAGACACCTAATACCCAACGGATACAGTGCTGCTGGAGACATAAACTAGGCGTAGACACCTTTATCACCAGGACATCTAACCCACAAGTGGAACTGTAGCCAGTGGGAACTGCAGAATCTGTAGGTATGCCTACACTGCAATTAAAAACCCACAGCTGGCCCGTGTTAGCTGGTTCAAGCTTAGGGATCTTTAATTGCCGTGTGGACATTCCAGGCCCACTGATAGGGGTGGGGGTGCGGGGAAAGGGACAGTTGCCCTGGGGCCTGATAATTCAAACGGGCCCGGGGCTCCCAGCCAGGCAGTGCAGAAGGATGGCTGCTCTGTCCCTGCCCCTTCCACTCAAGCCCTCGTCCCTTCAGGGAGCACAGAGCTGCTCCCCTCCCCCAACCTTGCCTAGGGGCTCTCACAGGCTGTCAGCTCCTCTGAGATATTCAGACTCAGGCTGGAGCCTCAGCTCTGTGACCCTTCCCCCTCTGCAAGGTCCCAGAACTTGGGCTCAGCCTAAAGTCTACACCATAGTTGAACAGCCCAAGTCCCATGAGTTTGAATCAGCTGCTGCAAGCCAACTGTATCTAACTGCTGTGTAAATATACATGAGGGATCCAAAAGACCAGTCTAGACACAATGCCAGGCCCCGAGCATCCACAAATCTCCATGAAGTCCCCTGCCAGGATTAAGTTCTTGGCATTACTGCATTTAATACCAACAAAGCCAAACAGATTAAAACAATGTGTCAGTTTGATAAAGTCAATCAAAGTGTCTACTGAGTCAGTGCCGCATCTGATAGGAACAACCAAGATGCTAATAACTTTTTGAAGAAGATAATTTTTCACTGGAGTATTATTCTGCACTGGGCCTGATCCTGTATGGTGCTCTCTTTCAAGTCAGTGGGAAGTAAGTTCCTGAATACCTTGCAGTATCAAGCCCCTCATCAATTTTATTTCATCATAGGGACTGCAATTAAGCTAAGCATTGTGGAGGCACAGACTCTCTTTCAGTGTCCCACCAGACTGCACAATAGAAAGCCACTGGACTGAGGCAGATTTCATTAAAGGCACCTACATTATTCTGCCTCATTTCTCTCTCATAAACAGGGTTCTCGAATCACTAGAGAATTAAGGTGTTTAGTCCATATTACTAATCAGTCTGTGAATACACAAAATCCCAGCACTTCTAAAGAAGCATTCTTCATTAGCTTCTGAAATTTCTCTAAACTACAGAATATGCTTAAAAAAAGTCTAGAGCACATGTCTTTGGCAAGCTCTCATTCACTGGCATAGCCTCCCTTGCAGAAAGGTTTCATATGTCCAACAACTGCATAACTTAAATCCTAAACAGGAGCAAAACCAAGGGCTTGCTTTCACATTTGGCAGCTTATATAATCTCTCTCATCTTTTGGGGGAAATAAACATACAAAAGTTTACCTTGGTAAAAGGTAGCCTTGAGGGAAAGACAATGATTAATCCATTCACTGGAATTAGAAGAAAAAAAGTTCATTAGCTTCTGATTGTGAGGTTTCCAGTATTATCTGGTTCTGCTAATATAAATAGAAGCCAGCAAACTCAGATATCACAGGATGGAAAACTCATGATGAATCATCAGGTCATGTTGAGGGGATCCAGTCAGGGCTTGCACAGTCAGATGATTTCACTGGCTGTACACATGTCAAAAATCTCATATTTCAATGTATAAGTAAAAGTGTCAAAGTTCAGCTGAAGCAGGGATGATTACAAAGTAAATTTGAGGGATGCGTGTTGGTGCATAACTGGCATGATAGAGCAACAAGAGGAACCAAAAAATGAACGGGAAAAGCAAAAGAACATTCAAGGAGAAATTTGCCTTGAAGAACAGCTTTATAAAAGAAGCTCTGTCAGAATTCCTGGGAACATTTGTATTGATAGTAAGTGTCAGCTGCTTTCCTTCCTTCCCACTAATTTAATGATGGACAGTATTTGTAAGGGGGCATGTGTTGCTTTACCTTGTACTCTACAACTAGCATGGGTCACTGACTGACAAATAGTGCACAGCAGTGAATTAACTGCTTATATTTATGGTAAGTGTGTTATTACTTCAGTCACTTGAAATAATTATTCATGACTATTAAATATAGACACTACAATTTTTATTGAAAGAACTTAACAATTATCTGTTAAAGCTTTCATTTGATAGATGAATAGGTTTTTAGTGATCTATCAACTTCTGAAAAATATGCAGATGTGAACAATAAATTTCAATAATCCTGCTTTTCTATTTTAAAAAAAATCAGGAATTTCTCAGTTCTCATGCATGAGTTTCATTTGTGTTGACCAACTAACCACATTGCCCATATAGGCATATTTTTACTGTTTTCCCCAGATTTAAGCCGGTGATTCCTAACAAACATGATGGCAGTTTGCATTCCTGAATCCTCAGGGATTTGAAAGCTTATCACATTTTGTTTGTAGCACTTACACTGTTAAATTTGCTGGAATCTGAAACTATTTTCTATTTCAGGCAAATATAAGAGCTCTCCATTATTTATTCACAAAAACAAAATGCTTTACCTCTTTATTTCTTGTTTAAAAAAATTTTTTTTGGTATCTCTGCATATTAAAAATTAGAACACAAAGTAGATTTGATTCACAAAGACCCACTGAAAGGTTATTATTATTCTAAAAGCACATACAATAATGAATATATTATGCTTTCCAAACACTGATTAATCCTTTGTGAGTTGAGAATTCTTTTTTATGGATGGGTATCCTGAGACACAGAGTAAGTTAGTGTTTTACTAAAGAGAGAATTCAGTGAGACGATTGGGATTAGATTACTAGTTCTAACCCCTCCTCCCCCCTGCTTTCTTGTAGATGGAATGCAACTGTCTTGTGGTTTTGTTGAGTATTTCATCAAAGTGAAACTGCAACAGAAAATTAAAAACAAACAAAAATAAAAAAGACCTACCAAGACCCCAAACTAGGTACAGACATAATACTATCATGGAAAAGTGTATTTTTTTAAAATCTGTAGTCATGTCAGCTAGATTTAAAGCATGTCTTCTGGAAGAATCCCAGTAGTTATGTAAGTGTTGAAAATGACGTTCTTTATCATACTTCACCCAACCAACACAGGCATTACATTTCTAACACATCTATACTTTATCAGAGCAAGACACTCAGATGCAAGAATCTCAAAGTATTTTAACAACAATTAAGTCTCACAATAACCTCATCAGGAAGGAAAATATTTTATAAATTAGGAAGCGTGATTAGAGAGGTTATATGAGCCACCCAGGAAGTCTGTGGCAGAGCTGTGAATATAACCCAGATCACCTGATGCCAAGCCTTGTCTTAACCACAAAATCCTCCTCTTCCCCCCTCTATTGATCAACCTGTATAAGTGAAAAAAAATGTATTCCAGTGTAGATGAGCACAGAAAATGCTATTATTTAATATTCTGCCTTGCAAGAGTGGAAGGAAATGCAACCCTACAGTCTATTGTGTAGCATAACAAGGACACCAAACTACCGTATCGTGGGGTTGGCAACGTGACTACATTTCACAATCTACTTCCCTTTTTTGGGTTTAAAGTTGTTTCAGCCTTGGATAATGCTGAAAAGGCCCACAAGCAGACAAAACTGAATAGCTGAGCAATCAGCAATCTGCTAAGAAGCTAGGCTAATGTTTTGACTGCACAGGATTTTCTGAAATAATCCACAGCACAGGATTATTGTAACAAGGGGCTCCCTTTTCTGCATTGACTTGCCTCATGATTTAATGGCATCTGACTGGCAAAAGGATCTCTCACCTCATGGTTCACTTTTAAAAAAATATTAAAACTGATTTAATTTTGAGCTGGTAAAAAGGTATGACTGATAACTCTGGAGACAGAAATCTTTGAAGAGCAGGGACAGCGTGGGGGTGGACAGCAGAAATAAGAGCAGCACCACACTGTCCCACTGAGATGCCTTACGCCTATCTAGAGTGAGAGTCAGACAGTTCAGTTATTCTGTTCCATCCAGAGCCTTCCTGGAGACATAACATCACTTGTGAGGATTGTTTGTAGGATGAGAGCTGCTTGTAGGTCCTAGCCACCTAGAAATGAGCTAAGGCCACCTATTGATTTCCCATTGGCCAGATATTGCAGTGGCTTTCAATGATTACCAAGTTGGGATTTAATGGAATAATACAAATAAAAAATAATACCTGGGCCAGTCACTTATTTCTCCTAGAGGTGGAAGGCCTCCAGATTCCAACCCCACTGAACCTGAGAAGATGTATTACCCCCACCCCACACAAAGGCAAAGCAATCCTATTTTGGCTCCCGTTCTTCTGAGAGGTTTACTCCATTGAACCTGGACTGCTATATATTCTTATGTTACCGTGTCCGAAAGTTCACTCAGACTTGCAACGTTATTTTTCAAACTCTGAAAAATTAAGAGTGAAAACATTATAGGATTCATTTCAGGATATCGGTGAAGTAGAAATTGGTTATGAGGCAAAACTTGCCCTTCCACGGGGGTTCTGCCTACAGTGGAACTGGTGTGGCTCCACTGAGGACAGGCCTTGAGGACACCACACACAGCTAGCTAGCTCATACCCCCTGTGCCAACGCCTGCTTTCATAGGGGTTCACTGCACACCACAAACTCATAGGAAGCCACTGGGATGGATGGATATGAAGGCATATAAGTCAACTGATATTGCCACCTATATAAAAAGGGTCATAGCCCGCAGTGTAGCCTACTCCTGTATTAGACCCCTCTGCCACATGGGGAGAGGACTGCTCTCACCCTCAGTTTCTAAAGTATTCCCCAGCTCATTGAATGCTGCTCTCGTTGTGCTCCAGGACTAAAATTAGAGTGGTCCTGCCGTACACAGGCAGTGAAAATATTGCACTTCATCAAGTAAGGGTAACGTGTGCAATTTCTAAAAAAACAGCTTGGACTAGTGCAGTTTCTATGTGGCAGAGCTATACTAGCAGATGTGTGCTGTATGCAGCGTGCATGACACTGAAGATTTCTGTTTCCAGATTGTTTGCTAATGTCTGAAATGTTCATTTCCCTGTTTTTACACTTGAGTTGGTGGCTTTACATGTACCGTATGTTAGCAGCATCTAAAGTCTCAGTGTAGCTTCAATGAGTTTTTAAAGACGAAAGTCTATCTTTAACCCACCCAGTTATGGTGTGGCGGCAGCATTTGCAGCACATATATAAAAATAGAGACACCTGTTTTCTTCACAGCAGGTGCAGTGTAATGTGATTTTTGCACACGCAGTATATGGAAACCACAGTATAGGCCTGATCAGTCTAGTTCTGGCTGAGATTTGGCCCTGTTCTCATTAAGGTAGATTTTGCACTCCTCCAAAACTGTCTGTGGGTTCTGACTCCCCCTCCCCCCAGTTCTCTGGGATGTTCCCTGTGTTTCCGTATGGCATCTGGGAGTCTCACTCATTTGTGTGTACCCCCCCATCCCATACCAACCTCCCACACACAGAGACAGCTCCCTTGCAGTGAGACTTCCCTGGCACCCCACAGCCAGGGTTCCTGCAGCTGGCTGCAGGCCTCACACAGTGGGGTCTGTGGGAAAGGAACAAAGCCTGTGGCCCTTTTCCTCCTTGAGCTCCACAGGGCTAGAGCAGGGGTCTCAAACTCATTTTACCTTAGGATATAATGCCAGTCCTCAAATCCTCCTAGCAGGCCAGCAGGCATCTCCCTCTGGCAACAGCTATGGGGGAGGGTCCTCCATGCATTCTGCACCACCCCTCCATGCATCTTCTGGCCCTGCCTGCTGCCCCATGCATTCCCCCCTCATGCATCCCCGGACCCTGCATGCCACTTCTAGGTGATATAAAACCCGCCGGGGATGGAGGGAGCTGCCTCCCCCAGCAGCAGTGCAGTGGGACTAGAGTAGCTTCTGGCTGCTAATTCCACGCCACCAGCACATCCTTCTGGCCCACGGGAGGTATGTGTGGTGCCATCCATCCATAGGCGTAAGCTGTGAAACTAGTGAAACCACTGGCGATGTGAAGGAGGGGGGTGCACACGTGGCAACATATACCTGCAAGGCAGGGCCAGTGCTGGCTGCTGGGGTCTGCACCACACCACGTGGCTCCCCCTCCGCCCCACCACTCACCAGCAGCGGCGGCGGGGAAGGCACAAGCTGAGCATCTCCAGCCTGCACGGTGCCGCTCTGGGGAGTGCTGGGAAGAAGTGAGGAGAGGTGGAGCAACAGAATGGGGGAGGACTAAGGGGACAGGGAAAGACAGGCCGGTGACTCCCCTGCTTCTCCTATCATCAGTCACCACTGAATGAACCTGACTAGAAATCAGTGATGCCAACTCTCCTGTTTTGATCACAAACCTCCTGATAATTGGGCTTTTTTCCCCTGGAAAGCCCCAGCCATGTCCTCATGTTGTGATCCCCTGCCACCACTTGGCACACCTGAAAGCAAAATCCTCAGGCGCCAGCCCACTGGCTGCAGAAAAACATCAGCTTGAGCGCTCCCTGGCCAGCGTGCTTTGCATTGTGACAGAGGCAGCCGGCATGGCTTCCAGGACTCCGGAGTGCCCTCTGCAGCTGGGACTATGTGGGCACTGGGGGTCTGGGGTGGGGCCAGTGCTGCTAATTGCCGAGTCCTTGTGCATCTAACTCACCCATTCTTCTCCTAGGCCGGCAGCCACATGGGCCTGGTTAAATAACTTTCAAAATATTTTGCAGGCCAGAGTGGGGAAGTACTTGGGCCATACATGGCCAGGAGTCTGAGACCCTTGGCTAGAAGGAGAGACAGCACAGAGACAGTGACCCAACATAACAGAGCAATGGAGCAGAGGGGTGGGTATGTGATTTCCAGCTGATCCCAGTAGCTCTCTCATTAGGGGTCTGCATGGAGCCAGTCTGCCTCTCTGGTTTAAATCTTCTTTTCTC